TCAGCCAATGCTTATCGATAATGAGCACATCTAAAAAGTCTTCTTTGAAACGCTGTTTTGCTGTTTTTTTAATTTAAACAGACAAGAAAACTCAATTGATTATTATTGTGATGGTTAAAAAAAATGAACAAATACTGTGATCTACACTGTTTAGTAAATTCAAACAAAACAAAGCCTCGTTTATTCTTCAGTTTTTCTTCTAAAATATTATCAACAAACAAACAAACAAACAAACAAACAAACAAACAAACAAACAAACAGCAAACTATACTCAATAACTTCCTCTTCTTTTCACTTTTTTTTTCCTTGCAAACTTTATTCTACAAGTTATTTTGTAGTGGAAGTTTAAAGACAACATTTCCTTGTAGTAGAAAGATAAACTGTTCAACTGATAAATGAAAAAAATAAAAAAAAAGTAACTTTTTTCTTTGCATACACAGATTTTCATCAGATTAATAGATAAAGATGAGAAAAAAGGGTGATAAAATGTTTGAACAGCTACTCCAGAAAACACTATTGCTTTCCGGTTCCTTTTTTCGCCTTTCTTTCTTCTGTCGTTTGAACTTTTTGAAATCAACATTAAGCAGTTTGCAGAAGACGACACTTAAAAACAAATTCAGCTAAAGAAACTAAAAACCAAGTTTTACTTAACTGTTCTTGAATAGTGCTCAACCTTTTCAGTGACGGCTTTAATGATAACGAGAACTATAAATGCTTAATGAGCTTGCAGAATATGCCTATGGAAGACTAAAAATGCAGTAAAAAGGAAAGAAAAACATCAAAGGAAAACTAAATAAACAACTTATAAACATAAAAATTTGCAATTTTTATTTTTTGCTTCTATTATATTTTCCACAGTTTTTCTTACTTTTTTTTTTTTTTGTAGACCCAAATGATAAGTAGAAGTAAAAAAAGAACACAAATTAAGAATGGTTCAGATAAAGAAAATAACTATCGCTTAAAAAACAACTTGATCACTAAATTTAGCATTTTTCACTGCAAATTTTTGCCAAGTTCAACTTTTCTTCTGCAAAAGTAATCTGAACTTTTGGTCTGAAAATGTTCAACAAACTATGGTTTAAATAAGACACTTTTTTGGATACAAGGTAAAATTTTTTTGGGCAGCAATAAATGCATATAACGTATTAAATGTAAAAATGATAAAGAATCAGATATATAAGTATCAAAAAAAAATAAATAAATAAACAGTCAT